CGGCAGTGCAAGACGAGTAGAAAAGCCTTCGACTGTCTATTGTTTTGTTTGTCTTATGTTTTCTGACGGGCGTTCCTTGGTACACAGAGGCGCGTGCGTATCTTCGCTGCGACATGATAGTGGAGCGAGTCGATAATTGGAGTTTGTAGTTTAAGCGCATCTCGCGCACTTGAGACATATATTCCGACCAACCCAAGCTGATGGGATTAATTTCTAGATTTCCGATCTGGTGATAGTCAAGTAGCTTTGTGGTTTGTCTATTGCAGGCATCTCATACTTTATATTTGGAACCACGGAGTAGTCGATCGGCCCTAGCAAGCCGCCTCAAATCGTGATCTTTAAAACGTTTGATGGTATCTTCATCAAAAGGCGACATCTCCTTTTGATGGTAGGTTTTATGAGGTGATTGCAATCCCTACGCACAAGCACGAAGGTTCTCATTCTCATGCAAGCAAGCCTCTAATAGAAGTGTTGTTGTCGTATCCAGTTTCTGTTTGCTTTAAGCTCGGTTGTCTTCAGTTGCTTGAGCTCAATGTTAATTCCAGTCAAAAACTCTTCTCTTTTCATAATGAACTTTCTACACTTGGACACATCCTTAATGATTGGCCCCCAAACAAAAGGATGAGAGTTGGCAGAATTTTTGGCGTTGCGTGTCTTCAGATTTGAAAAATCCTCCTCATAAAATTCCATCAGTCGCTCAGAGGTGGCTTAACAACTAGTGGATCTCTCCACATGCTGGGAAAACTAACGAAATAGAAAAGAAAATAGAATATTGGCAACACTGGGGGCTAAACCGTCAAGCACAACAACACCAACAAATATCGTTTTCCCCCTTTTTTCGGCACAATTTCTTCTAGAACAGCGACGGCAATGGGAGATCAGCGACGCCAGAAACAACAGCAGCAGCAGCAGCGACAGCACCAGCTTTAGCAATAACAATAACAATAACAATAAACGTACGTAAGTAGCAATGCGACGGCGAAGGTGTGGCGAAATGCGGCGAGACGAAATGCTGCAACAAAATGGGCGACAATAACTGAACAAATGAACAACTGAACAACAACAATGGCAGCAACAACAGCTGCTCTTTCGTACTTCACACGATTGAAATGTTGTTGTACAAAAGAAATATGAAAATTATAAAAACAAAATGCAAACATCTATACATACATACATACATATGTATGTGTATACGTACATACATATGTTTGTATGTCTAAGAAAAACAAAAACAATATTTTTCCTTCTTTGTTTTGGCTGAAAGCAAACAACATTGGTATGTCTGTATGTCGGTAGCGGCGTAAAATTGCCAACATTAGGCCAAATACGAGTAAAACTCGCCGCATTGAGCAGCGTACATACATACATACATACCTACATAAATAATGTATGGCATTCGGCGAAGCAAAAAGGCTGCGACAACTCAGTCAGTCGGTCATAAAAACGTGCATACACATACATACATATGCACATATGTATATACATATGTATTCCATATACACATAAACAAGTTGCTTGCTCGCCAGATTATCGGCTTGGGTTGTACACACGCGAGCACAGACACTCACATACAAACACATACAAACACACACAGGCATGCACCGTCATCAAGCAGGCAGCCAGTCAGCCAGTGAGCAACAAAAGCAACTACAACCAACAATGAACGATAGCAACAACCACAAGAACGTAGCGTACATTTGGCAGACAAGAGCAGAATTTTTAAACATTTTTAGCGGCAACAACACAACAATTGTTCTAACGAAAAAAATACTAAGAATTTTCGCACAAGTCGGCGAGGGAAAAATGCACAATGGGCTTGCTGTAAATTGCTATGAGCATGTACAACATGCTTACATACAAACATACATACATATGGCAATAGAACCAAATGAGCTCTTTATTATTTCGGGCTAATCCATAGTACCATAAAAAGGAGCATCAAGGATACTCTGTCGCTCCTTGTAGCCGCAGCTCGCAGTGAGAAAGTACTGTAGTTTACTTTGAATTCGCTCGGATCTTATTTTGGTTTACCTTTACCGATGATCTAAGGTCATCAACGGAGCAACACTTCACAACTGGGCTGCTTCAAATCCTTCTCATCAGAGCTGGCGCCGAAACCAACCCTTTTTCGACGGATTATTTCTGTTAGATGCAATCAGTGCAATGGTTGGTGTCATCTTGAGATCTGCTCAGGCCTTAAAACACATAGGACGCACACCGCAGCATGACTCCCCCCAATCTCCAAATCTAACCACATCCAGCTCCTCTTCCATCGCCCGTGCGAGGGCTACCCAGCAGCTCTTAGTTCGCGTACACCCTGTGCCGTATGTCAGGCCGTAGTGCGTCGGAACAGGATATAAGACAGATGCAACTCCTGCTCTGGCCTGTGCACCACCCGTGAGTGTGTTGCTGCGTACCTTGCCCCATGCTGTTGGGAATCTGCTCCCAACTACATCAAGAATATCGCCCCCAACCAACGCCAACGTGCCGCATCCAATTCAGGGGGAATTACAGAACAACACACCAGATCCAAATATCACTACCTCACCCCCCTATTACGAACGTTCCCCCGAGACAGGCACGATTGCTCCAATTTAACTGCAACAGACTTCAGTGAGGGATCGACGAGATAGTCGATTTTATGAGCCGGGAGTACCTGTCAATTGCTGCGATCCAGTAGACTAAGCTGACCGTTCGATCAGATCTTCTGAGCCGGCCACCAGCTGTACCATTTCCCGACATTTTATTTGGGCGGCAAATATACTTGCTGCAGTAATGTTTCTATCGCGAGATCAGTGGGTTCTGAATGCCTGTCTGTCATCAGACCATATCTGGAGATTTAGTAGCGTACCTCATATTCTTGGAAGACTTTTGATTATCCTTCATGTCGATCAGTTTCTCCAACTATTCATGATTAAAATCCCTATATTTTTCTGAGATGACGTCACATTCGTAAATAGACCAGGGAGGTAATGAATTCATACAATTTGTTCGAAATTGTTTATATTATATATTCATAATACCATATGTATATACACCCATATTATAATTATATATGTATGAATATGTACATATACATGCAACCACCTTACTATGCGATTTGATATTGCCCTGAGGGACAACCGACTGCGCTGTCTCGCCGTTTTCAGGGGGTTGCTAAGATTTTGAAAAAAATTAATGCAGCGATTGTCGCTGTTATTGCAGGAGGGAACATTTTGTTATTATTATTTATTAATATATATTTGTATGAATGTATATTCTGTTAGTAAATAACATGTAATCGCGTCAACTTTCCGCTGCTGCAACATTTAGAATTTCCGATTCAGTTTGTTAGGAGCTCAATCGCCTCATTTCTTACACTCTTAATCAATATCCTCATGGAGGAAATTTCCTTGGTGGATCACTCTCATTACTATCGAATCCTAAGCCTCTCTTTTAGATAGGAGCCGAAGCAAAATTTGGTATGGGAACGGCAGCATATGAACGACTGAAGCAGGTATCAGTTCCATGACTGCAATTTCATTCAGTTTGCCCTCCAATTTCTTTCTAAGTGAGCAGCAAAAACGGGAGTTCTAAGGCTTGTGCGTCTATAGATCATGCTTCCAGGCTTGAGCAAACCAAGTAATTGTGTAATTAAATACCTAGATAACGAAATCATCATAAAACCAAATATTTTTCCTTTTCGAGAGAGTTGGAATTTTCGTTTGCACCGAAATCCTTTATTTTTTTTTTGTCATATTTTAATATATTTATTTTAAATTTATTTCATTTCATATATACGTATATATGTAAAAACCTATTGTCCGCTTGGAAAGATCCCGTAATCTCAAAAAGTTACGTCATGATTGATTGGAAATTTCGTTCGATGGTTTATATGATTCCTGGGAAGATTTGTATGAAACTTCGGGAAGCGGATCAGGGGCTGACTTATTCGAAAAAATCTGATTTATGGTTAGACTAACTTGAAATTTGGTACTTGGGTGGCGCTTTGCTTAAATTAACAGAAAGAGTGCTTTTTCCTCCGGAAAGTGGGCCACGAACTGAATTTTGCGAAAAAATTTTATTGTCGTTGGATTTTCCTGAAATTCGGTAGATAGTTGCTTTTTACTTAGATGAGCAGGGAGAGTGGGCCAATGCCAACCATAAAACCAAAAATGCTTTTTAATTGTTTTTTTATTACTTTATTTAGATTCATTTTATTTAATTTTATATCTAATATATTTCTAATTTTTTAACTCTTTTTTCATTCATTTAGTTTTTTTCTATCAATTTACCTTATTCCGTCTGACTTTCTTTTGTTACTTTACTTTGTTCTTTTTAGTTTTTTATTTTTATGAAGCAAAATATAAAGTAAAACAAAAAAATAATTAAAATGCAATAAAAACATAATAAATATATAAAAAGAAAATTAAAAATAGAACAGAAAATAAAATAAAAAATATATAAAAATAAATTAAAGGAAATTAAAAAAAAAAAATAATAATATAAATATTTATTTTATTAATTTATTAATTTAAAAAATTAAAATAAAAATTATAAACAATAAAAAATAAACATTTTAATATAAATTGGCGCTTTGTAACCGCTGAACCGATTTTCCGTCCGATTTAAATAATTTAAATAAGAAAAACAAAAAAATTTAAACGAAAAGATGCAAAAAAAACATAAAAAATTAAATAAAATTTAAAATTCAAAGTGCAAACAGCAAATAAAACAATGAAAATATACACATATTAATTTTATTAATTAATTAATTTTAGTAAAAAAATAGTAATAATAGAATATTACAAATTTATTAATTTTTAAATTTATTATCATAATTTTTGTTTTTATTTTTTCGTTTTTTAATCATTTTTTTTATTTACCTTATTTAATTTTTTTTAATTTTTATTTTTTTGTTTTACTTATTTTTTCTTTTTTGTGTGTTTATACATACATACATATTTTTTTTTATGTACTATCGATTTTTATTAATGTACTGTGTATGTATGTATGTACATATGTATGTTCATATGTATGACAAACAATTCCTGCTATCGCCACTTTGCCTTTTCATTGACGCGCAGCCAAAGTCATATCGCTGGTGGAAACCATTCGTACGTACCTACACATGTATGCACATACATACATACATACATACATACACATAAACACAATTGTTGCAAAGAGTGTTGTTGTTTTTGTTATTACTTTGTATTGTATGCTGCTGTTTTGTCGCCATTACCTTTGTCGTCATCACCACAGCAACACTGTTGTCATTGCCTGCGCCCGGTACGTCGTTAACGTCCGGTGCGCCAAGATACGATGTACATACATACATGCATACATACAATATACAATAAATATACAAATGTACATATACCTACTGGTATGTAAGTGCGTATGAAGGTAAAATATCAACCATGAAACGACACAAACAACGTCGACGCTATTGCTTTTGCTTTCAGCGACGCCAGCAGTGCAGCTGGCGTTCGTGTGGTGTGAGCAGCTAATTCATTGTTGTTGAATTGGCCTATGCCAGGTAGTGTATTGCTGCGAGCAAGTGTCGCGTGTTCGTATGTACACATTTGCAATTGTTCCTACATACATACATACATATCTAAATGCAAATATGTCTGTATGTAATGTCAGTACTCTTACTCTGCTTACATATGTATATTTTCATTAATTGTTGTTAGTGGTCGTCGTCAACGCGTCATCGCTTTGACTAAACATACATACATACATATATACTCTGTGGATATGTAAGTATGTACAGCCAACCAACCAACAGTTGTTGACGTTACTGAATGTTTTCGTTCAGTTTTTTGCTCGCCCATTTTTGCTGCTGCTGCCAGCGCTGTTGCTTGCTGACTCTGCTATTCGTACACACTCGTGCGCTCTTTTTTGCTGCCTGCTTGCCTGCCTGCTGTCTGTCGTTGCTATACACCGCCGCTCTCTCGCCGCAACCACTTTGCTGCAGATAATGCGGACCAGCAATCGCTGCCGTCCCTGTCGCCGCTGCCGCCACCACCGCTGCGACGCAATTCAACTGAGCACAGCTGAGTGAGCCCGACACAGCGCACTTCATGTTCAGTTGCTCGTCTACCGCTATAGCTGTTGCTCGCTTTTTATTAAGTATTGTCGACGTATTTTTGTCGTATCGTCAGCTAAAAACGCCAGTTTGTGTGCGCGACGTTTGTGTTATCTCGTACCTCAATATACTATATACATATATACATACATATGTATGTACTTACATACATTCGTGTTAACATTCGCCTCTGACCACCACACCACGATTGCAAGTTGCTGCTGGCGCTGCTGTGAAATTGCTGTTGCTACACCGACGCCGACTGTTGTTGGCTGTTAGGTGATTTCATCATTATCGTCATTCGATCTTGAGCGACGCGAAGTGACGGTTGCGCGCGGTGTTTACGCTTAGCTATTGACAAAGTGAAAGATATATATACATACATACATACATATGTATTAGAGTGTACTGCAGCAACAACTGTTGCTAACTAGGGGCTGTGCTAAATTAAAAATCAAAAATTTTATAAAACCAAATACTATTTCTCTGCCCGGTGCGCGTCGGGAATTTAATAAAAAGAAAACAAGCAGCGCGGCCACAACGCGTTAGACCCAATATTGAGTTTTGAGAGTGTTTCGTATACAAAGTGTGCGCGCGTGCATTTTCTGTTCATTTATTTGTACTCTAAAACAACAACAAATAGATAAAGAGACAAAATGAGGCTATCCTCGTCAAATAGCAACGATTCCAAACCGGATAATTACCAAACAAATGCAAAAATTTGTCGTCTAGTCGAGCGCTATCCCTGCATGTATGATCGCTCGCATCCGCATTACCTGAAAAAGGATGTCGTCGATAAGGCGTGGGTGAAGATCTCCAAGGAAATGGATGACTCAAGTGAGTATAGTGTAATAAAGGTACATACAAACATTTGTACATATATTTCACACAAGCAACGCGCATGTGAAAAAATGGTAGCCTTCAATGCAATCACAACCCAACAACAAGAACAAGAATAATAATAACCAAAATTGCCACTACTCGTTTGACTGTCTGCCTGTTGGTTTATCATCGGCGCGCTCACACTCTGCGTCCTTCATCCAAACAAACGACGCGACGCGACGAAGTGCCTGCTTGTCAGCCTACTTGCAGCTGTCATGACGTGTTTTTTCGTTTTTGCTTGTTTGTTGGTTAATCCGTGGCTTGTGTTGTCGTTATTGCTGCTATTATTTTTTTTTTGTTATGTTCCGTTACCGTCGTTGCTTGGGAGCAGGCTCGGCAGCCGAATAGTCGCGGAGGGCGCGTTAGTCAGCACGTCAATTGCGCGCACTGCTGCTGCTCCTGCTGTTATTGTTTTGTGGTATGCGCTGCAGCGCGTCTGCCGTTGGCGTTGAAGCGTCGTTATGCTTGTTTTGATAATCGTCTACGTTTGAGTGCATGCAAACAGGGAGGCAACTTATTTACGAACATACATACAAGTGTAGATATATTTTGGTCAATGATTAATTTTTTCATAGCTCAAGCGGCGCGCGTTTTTCATTGTGTTGACCAAAAATGTTGTTAACGACGTTGCTATCATATTAATGTTGTTGTTGTCCACCAATGCATTTATTTTTTTTGGCTGTTGCTATTGCTGCTCTCTAGCGTTGCTTTTCTCAATGCCGTCTGTCTGTTTTCTGATTTTTGTTGTTGCTTAAGTATTGCTCTTGCGCATAGCCGCTCTCTCGTTGACAGAGTTGCCGCTGTTGCGAAATGACAGAAATCTGGACAAGAAGCGTTAATTGCCGTTTTCATATAAGAAAAATGAAAAACTCTATGATGATGAATGCTAAATTAATTATCATCTAATTAGAAGTGACGTTTTGGAACTTTAAGAGAAGATAAAATTTTATCAATTAAATTTTCTTCCATTTTCTAAACATAAAAATATTTTTATTATTTTGTAAGAACCTTTCTTCTTTCGGACCCTCCGAAATTTTACACATTTAATAGGAAAGGATAAAAACTGAAAATAAATTGAACCTACCGCCGTACTTATCCGATTCTCCGTTTTATAGATGAGCTATCACTCAGCCAGATTATAAACCCCCTGCGGCCCTGCGGGTTGGTGGTTCAAGAATTTACCCGCGGTAAGACATGCCTGTCGTAAGAGGCAACTTAAATCCCATAGATCTCGCGACAGTCAGACCCGAATTTTTATCCGGCCAAGGACTGTCACTCCCGCAACATCCCCCAAAAAGTACTAATTAATAATTTTTGGCTATTAAAATTGAATATTTCAATAACAGGTTGGTTCAGTACTTAAAGCAATTGACTGTTAGCGTCAGGATCTGATGGTTCCATCCCTGCAATGAGAAGCCCAACAAAAAGATACAGTGACCTTCGAAAAAACGCCATTTTACCATGTTTTCTTTGTTGTATAAAAAAGTATTTAATTTATAAAAAAAAACACAAAATTTTAAAAACTTGAACTGAAATGTGGACAATGAAGAATAAAGCAAAGAATATTTAAAGTATCAGCTATTTTCTCCCCTGTTGCTATACCACCGAAAGCAAGTTTCTGTTCGATTCAGTGCTCTCTTTCCGATCTTCGACGGTCAGCGTATATTTCAAATCGAATTCAGCATATTGGCAGATTTAAGTTATTAGGTTCATATATAATACTTAAATTTTTGTTCTCTTAGATTTAACGGGGGTTTTGTACGCTGACACTGCTAGAGTATACCTTAGAGAACTCTTAAGCACTTGGTTAAATAAAACACAAATATTTAAGTAACTCCACAGACCCCTTTATTGAAGTCTAGGAGAAGTTGTCTCATTCTCAGAGAATACGAGAACGGTAGTGTCTTTTTATTGTTGTCAGTCAAATAGAATATGTTGTAAGCTACAAAATCCTATGTTAGAAAGAGTAAGCCCATAAATCTCGCGTTATAATGGCATTTAAATTTTTGTATCGGAAATCTAATGTATATCTTTATCAGAACTTACGTAAATTTTCTTTAAAAAATATTTATTTCAAACAATATTGTTAAAAAAATTACACACTTCAGTTAAGGCCTGTAATCATAATACAAAAAAAGGAAGGTAGTTTCACTCAATAATCATTCAAAAATCTTTTTATGTCAAATGGCTAATATTTTTGAAAAAAAATTTGGATGAAACTACCCGGTTTTTTGTGTCAAGCTTGTACCTAAAGCTTAATAAAATAACAGGCTAGTCACTTCATAATTTTCTACAGACCTCGCTCATAAATTCGCAATTTTCCCAAGATTTTTCTTAGGGCACTAACTCCGGGTTACAGCTTCATAAGAAATATAAATTGGAGTGTTTGAAACTTAGTTTTTTTTCAGTCCTCAACCAAGAGCACTTCGATTGTGAAAGTGTTCAAAAATAAAGAAGTTTATTAAAAAAATAATAGGGATCTTCCCATTTTCTTTGTTTCTTTTCAAAAATGTTTAAAATATAAAATATTTATGTCACCAAAAAAAAATCTATCAATTTGCTGAATTATGTTTGAAGTGGTAACCCTATGGTGAACAATACTCACAGTGGTGTCTCTCATGTGTAATTTCCGAGCGGTTGCCAGCTTCCTGCCTTTTCCATTTGCTTTTAATATTTCTCTCATTATTTTCATAGCTCATTCCTCTCTATTTTGTGTATGTTTTTTCTACAGTCTCTTGTGTGTATTGGTGTATTGTTGCTTGTTGCCAACAAACGCAGAGGCATGGATAACAACGGGGGCAATTTTTCTTTGTTGGCTGGTATTGCAACGCAGCGGAAATGCCGGTGACTCGGTCACGTACGCACACAAGTGTAAGCACATATGCATACATACATACTCGTACATGGAATCTAATGTACATATGTGCGTGTGTTGAAGAGTATTTCTGAATGGTTCGTATTGTACTACACCACAGCGCGGGGTGAATTTTCCAGCTTCTTTGTTAAGCTGTGAAAATGCAAGTATATACCTACATATGTAGCTGTGTATGTATGTATGTATGTAAGATTTATTTACTGCGTCTTCTCTATTCCGCTTAAAGCGTATATACATACATACCAGCTGGTGTATATACATATGTATATTGTTGCTGAAAGACAAGAGCCATAGAATCCAGTGCGAGGTGGGAAGTATGGAAGTGAAGAAAAATGCAGTAAATAAAACTTTGACCTTGACATGACCTTCAATTGCAAGGTCGTTTTTTATGAGGTTACTTAGACATTTTATAATCAACATTTAACGGTATCATTAATCTACTCCGGTGGGTGGTGATGTTGCAAGATTTTTCTCAGAAAAAATTTATTTTTTGTTCTTGTTTTTCTGTTGCGGTTGTGGTTATTGTGCTTCCCGTTGCGAAAACAACGCTTAAGAGTAGATAAAGGTTGTCTATAATATCAAGACCAGCTAAATGGAGGCGCAGCTAATCAGTTGTTTCGATGTGACTCGCACCAAGAAGCCGAATGGTTTCTATGTGTTGAGTCTGTTGGGCTCAAGTCGGAGAACCTTCTACGGACTTTAGTTGCTCCAGAATTACTCGAGTTTCACGGGGAAGCTCGAGTTCCACGTCTGCTATGGATGGTGGCCGGATATTTGTTTGAGTTGGTTATAAGAGACCAAACGTCGGGTTCGTTCGTGCCGAGTCGAGGTAGAAGTTAAGTCTATTAAAGTCTACGGGTCTTAGTTGTGACAGGTTTACTCGGGCCTCACTCTCATTTACTCTAGTTTCTCATCTGATATAGATTGTGGCCGAGTTGTAGGAAGTCCGGTGGTAGATAAGTCTGTTTTGGGAGACATACAAAGAGCTGGTTAGTGTCCTGCGACTACCCTCATTGCATACTGTGCAGATGTTGTCTATATCAGGGTTGAGTTTGGACAAGTATGACCTATGTATACGCCCAGAGCTTGGCTGTGTCTGGATTACTCAGATTCCAAGGGGTGTTTCTCTTCTGCAATAGGTGGTAGTTGGATATCGATTATGACATTAACGGAGGAGGGGTAAGCAAAATGTTGGTTGACTCTCTCTGAAGGATGATCCATTCTTCGCGGTATCCATCGCATCTAATGGTGATATTGAGTATTGCTGAGTGTAGTGGCCATAGTCTTGCACTTACTTCCTGATACGATGGGAAAGCGGCTTTGTTTCGACCTGGTATATGCAGGTGGTCTGTGGTGGCTTCCTTAGCTGGGGACATAGTTTTCTCGCTATGTAGGCGTGCAGGTGCCATCAGAAGGTTTCCTGATTTGGTACTTAAGTTGGTGAGTGTGGTGTAATTTATAATCGATCGGACTTGGTACTATCTTTTCTTTGATTACAACATTTTCTACGAGAATTTAGTCCTAGAAGGACTAGGGGAAAGGTTGTCGGGATATCCGCTGGTGGTATCTGTAAGCTTTGAACAGTGTAGAATGGGGAAAGTTTGAAAAGATGGAAGCTTTATTTTTAATAGAGGATATCAAAATCTTGGGTAGACGGCAATATCCAACAGTCATTGACACACATATGAGCGCAAAGACCACAGGTGGTCGAGGGAGCTTTGAAATGTTAAAATTTAGTAAAAGCGGAAAAGAGAAGGGGTTCAAGAATTTACCCGAGGTAGGCATGCCTATCGTAAGAAGCGACTAAAATCAAATAGTTTCCGCGACAGTCGGGTCTTTATACCGGATATTTTAACCGGCCAAGGAGTGCCTCTCCCGCAAGATTCCCCAGAAACAACAACAACCAACACTCATTGGGCCGATATTATCAGACTAAGAGCCGTCATCTTTTGGCGACCCAACTCTGTTTAGATCGGCGGGTTAATCAACATTCCTATTCCTAAAAGAGGTCAGACCTATCATTATGTAGGATCGATGCCTACTTCGGTGGAGAAGTATTTCCATGACCCTTTTGATGGAAGAGCTCTTAATTAAAAAAAAAATATATCATCTCTTCCGTACTGTTATTTGCTTGCTATAGTGAGTCATTTACATTCCTCTTCATCTTTCCTTTCAGTACCATCATGCAAGGAGCGCTGGCGCAACATACGCACATCATTTGCGCGTTCCATCAACGTCAATAAAATTCCGTCCAGCGCTAATCGTACCAAACCATATTACCTACACGAAGAGCTACAATTCCTCGCCTGTCACATCACACCCGGCATACCGGTATCGCGTCGTCCCAACTACTATACAACGGCCGATGAAAAGAGTGAAATGATTGAGGTGCCAATAGGCGAAGAGTCCTTTGATGGCTTTGTTGCGATGGCGAAAGAGGAGGAGGAGGAACAACAACAGCGCATCAATGATGAGAGCGATTCACGGCAGGAGCGTGCGCCGAGCAGTAGTGCAGATGAAGCCACACAATCAGCCAAGGGTGAACCAATACAGATAGCCGAGGAGATGCATGTAGATGGCAATGAACAGAGGATACCAGTACAAAACTCGCCACTACCACTATTGGCTCAACAGCCACAACCATCACCGCAACCAACACAACCACAACATCTCCACCAACAGCCACATCAGCAGCAGCTGCAGCAACATCAACAACAACAGCAAGAGCTTGCTCTTCAACCATATCAGCAACAGGCACGGCAAGCCTCACCAATTCCATTGCCCAACAGCGCCGTGGAAGTGGAGGTCGGACAGCCTATGCAAGCCGTATTGCCCTTGTATCCGTTCAAAAAGCGTCTGCGCCCCACCGAGCCGCTCATGTATGCCGAAGTGGAGCCGGAGCGTGACATTAAAGTGAGTTCACTGCTTGGGTTCGCATTTTTTCGTCTTTATTAAATATTTTTTTCTCCTCTTCTCCGTAGCCGCAACCCAGCGAACTGTGTCAACCCGAGCAGGATTTCGATGCCGCTTTTCTGAAAGGTCTCTTGCCCGAAATGAAGGCGATGGACTTTCGTCAAAAGATCATATTTAAGAAGCGTATCTACGAGGTTATTGGTGAAATTTTCGAGAGCACATCCACACAGAGCAACGGCAGCGCAACACGTCGCCTGTCGGCGCAACAAAACAACAGTTTTAATGGCAGCAACAATAGTACACCTATAAATAGCAACGGTTTTGCGGCTGCTGCTGCCTATATCAACGGTTGTACAGCCAACAACAGCAGCCACCGTACAACCACACCGCGACCGACACCGAGCTCATCGCCCAGCGCTTCGGGTTATGCCTCGCCATTGAATACGCTCAACAGCGCTTCATCCACCACCAACACCACCACTGCAATGGGCGTGGTGAATGCGTCTGATTTGGCTATGATACGTCGGCTCAGCACATTGCTGCAGAGTCCGGCCATAGCCTCCAGTACAAATGCTATGACGGCTCTACCAAAGAATGCCACCACCATTTCATCAACTGTACGCACCGCTTCGAATACATCGCCCGCAACAGTTACGGCGCCAATGACGCCTGCAATGGTGAGCGCACATCGTGGTGCGTTGACGCGTTCCAGCGCCAATCTACTGCGCACCAGCATGACAAACGGCGGCTCTGCGGCGACACCATCTAGTACTTGCAGCTCGCCAGGAGCTAATAGTCGCGCCGTTAAGCAGGAGTTGTTAGATGATTGAGGCATCTATCTAGCGGGCATATGGATGGATGGCTGGATGGCCGGATGGATGGATGTGTGTTTCCTAGTTAAACGTTTTTTTTAATGCTTTTGGTAACATGTAGCTTTAGAGTTTTAATGTTTAATTAATTAATGTTTATATGTATGTATGTACATTCGGTATGTACAGAAATGTGGCTAAGTCTCTCATTTCCAAGTCACGTATTGTACTTATTTTGTAGGTTAAGAAATTAAAGAAATTAAATAGAGACAACAACAACAAAAATAGTTAATAGTTGTGGCTGTAATATTTAGTATTTAATAAAATAAAGTAATGTATGACAGAAAAATTAAAACGCTCATCCTTTTGTTGTTAAATCCTTAGAGGAACAAGACGGTGGCTTCACTCGAAAACTCCTTTTTTCCAATTTCGATGCAATTGTGGTCGTTTCGCGGAAGGGTCTATATACCCACCGCTCTGTAATTATGGCGTGGAAATAAAGAGCTCCTCTTTAAAACCCATCAACCGTTCCGAGGAGACCTAAAAAATCTGTTAGACCCTCCATTTGTTGGAAAACACCACTAATTTGAGAATGAGGCCGGTTCAAAATCACTTAAGCGGTTATGTAAAAGAACAAGACTGAAGCCCTGAGCGAAAAGGGAGGAATCCTCAGTGGTCGGTTGTTCTTGTTCTTGTAGCGGCTCGCTAAGCCCGCTTAGTAGCAGCCTAGATCAGTCTAAGTCATCGAGATTAACAAACGTGAAGTACAGGAAACGAGCTGTTGCGATGGGTTTGGACCAAGAGGGTTGATGAGTAGGTTAGGAGCTTGCAATGAGGTTGCTAGTGTCGTGTGGGAACTCATCGCCTGCGAGTCAAACGTTGGTGGTCTCGTGGTCTGTCGGACGGTTGTCGGTGAAGTGGCTCTTTATAAATAACTAAATCAACTAACAGCCCCACTCGCCGACAATGGGGTTGTGGCTTTACACATTCAAGCCGGATCAAGAATCCGGTGCCGGTTTTATGCTCCGAATTTTAACCGGCCTATGGTTGTCTCCATTCCGCTACAAAGGAATAGAAAAGAGAATCGCTGAGCACTATGTTGTTGTAGCGGTTGTTCCAATCCCGCTTAGGGTCAGGCTGGTTAGTCGAAGTCACTGAGGTCATCTAACGGGATGTCCAGAAAACGAGCTGTTGTGAGTGAGATGGGGGTTAGATGTGTCGGTTCTAGGACCCTGTAAAGAGATGGTTAGTGTCGTGCGGGGATTCTTTAGATGCTGGATATATGTACGTTGGGCATGTTAGGGATGAGGCTGGATAGCCTGGACCAGCTATAATATTCCGAGCCCGCCATTCACGGAGAGGGACTCTTTGACAGTATTGACTGACTCCTGATGAATGGCTTTTGGTGACTGTCTGTATGTGCCGTCCTGTCCAGCGATTGTTGCACTTGCTCCTGGATTGTGTCTTTTAAATGTAGTAATCCCTTTCTGATATGCTGGATGGAGGTTCAGCCTCTATTAGATGCCTGTTGGGATGCTGCTGCAGGGAATTGCTTGCACACCAAAATATTAGGCTGCTTAAATCTTACAGAGTGATGCCCAGGTCACATTAAGAGGTTTCCTGTCGCGGTGTTAAGGGCGGTTTTCTGACCGTCTTGTGGCTTCTTTAACTCCGTTTCGTTTGTCCCCGGTGCCCACATCGCTGCAGTGTTGTTAACGACCGATCGGCGAATTGTTTTGTATGTGTGACGATAGACCTTAGCACGATCCTTTAACAAAGCGTTGGCTTGCGACAACAGGGACTAAGATGATATGATGATGTGATAGATCTACTTTTGCGTGCTTGTAATGCAGTTATGAGTGTCGCCGATGACAAGGAGGGTGCAACACCGCAATCCCGCAATAAATGTCCACCACTGTCAGCAGATCGAAATACTCGCAGCCAAATCGATCTTAGTGTTGCAAACAACGTCCGTCAATAAGCACGAGAATTGTTCGACATCCGGTGGGCTTGGAGTCACAACCGAGAGCCAAATAGTTTTCCATTCCATTATCGCTGTTGCTCTCTGAGAACACTGATCAGCAACTCTGTTGAAGAGGGAAGTAAGGCGCATTTGCAGACAGAAAAAGTGAGAGACCCATATGAGAGAATATGAAGTATATATGTATGTATATATATAGTATATATTGTTTTTTTTTTTTAAATTTCCAATTTATATTTATTTAGTTAATTTATTTATTAAGCATTTGATTGCATTAGTTATACATATATTTATAATAAAGTAAATAAGCATATACAAATGCATATATTATATATAATAATAGAGTATGTGTGTATATTATATAGGGTAAGGGTAAGTAGGTATTATCGTATATGTAAATATGTATGTATGTATAGATGTATGTAAAATATAATTTAGATTAGTTTAACTATATATGTAGTTAATTATATAGGTATATATGCACTTAGTAATATATATATATATATATATTCAATATATAATCGTATAAATGTTTTTCATAGTTCTTCAGTTGAGCACAGAGTTCAAAACTCGCCCTTAGACACATTGTATTTAAATATTTAATTATTTTTTATATATATATTATATGTATGTATGCTTAATGATATATTATAAATTATGTATTTATTGTATATTCAATTTTTTGTTTAAGCACATTTGCCGGTTGCGCAGTTATGTATGGGTTTGTGCATGCAAAACGAAATTCCCTCCAGGTTACGTATACGCAACGTCATACCTTCGTGAGCGATATTTTATGCGTTTTGTTGCCGTCTTTTTCTTCATGTTCTGGTTAAAATTTGTTTCTTTTAAAATAATATATTTTTTTAATTAGTTATTTATTTAAATACAAATATATTTTTATTTTGAGACAGAAGAAATGCAAATTATTGTATATTAATTTTTTACATATGTATATTATTTAATTTCTTGCGCAAATCGAAGTAAATTTTTGTGGAAAATTTTATAGATAAATATGTGGCGCTTTTTGATAAAAAAAATTTAACGGTTTTTAAATTTTTATTAAAATATGATTTATTTATTAAAAACCCCTTTCCATTTCTGAATTAATTTAGTCATAAAAACTGAAAATAAATTGTGTTTTGTGCAAATGTTTCACTGACTGCAACAAATGGCAAGAATTAAACATAAACGCAGTATATTTGCTTGTTTCAGAAATATTTTTTCAAGTAGCAGCACAAATTAAGCTCTTTACCTCCTAACATATCAGAAGAGACTGACTGTTTTTTCATACATTAAAATCGCTATTCAAAAGAAAAAAGTTATAATAAATAAAATTTGAAAAAAATTCACTTTTTAGTACTTAAAAGTTTAAATATAATCATTTTCCTCATAAATGTATATATGTATTTATTATTAAAAAATTGAATACAAATAAATCATCGTCATTAGCAAAACGCACAGAATTCCAGACAGAAATATATATTTCATATATATAAAATAATATAAAGCAAAACCTAATTTAACATACATAGTACACAAGTTTTCAATTCTTTAACTTCAATACACAATACATAATAATAATAATTATAATAATCAATTTAACGTCATTCTAAAATACATACATATTTATGGTTGTATATATTTTATATTATATATACTAATTACAAATTGTTGTCGCTTTCACACAACACTACATAAATAACATATAGTTTAGGCCCTTTGTTTGGCACCTGCCCTTTCTCCCTTTAAGTGAAGACAATTTTAACTGGTCCCATGGGCAGTTGTTTCATATAGTTCCAGGCGTCGACGCGCGTCATCTTCGCTGTGGATGCACCATTAATGCTCAGTATTTCATCACCGTTACGCACCTGGCCGGTTTTGTGCGCGGCGCCACCTGGTGGAAGTTGAGGGAATGAATTAAAATAAATCAGTGAAATCAAATAAAATAATGAAATTAAATACAATTAAAGATATAAAATAATTTAAATTGAAATAAAATAAAGAATAAATATTGTAAAATTAAAATGTAAAAAATTTAAGTGAAATAAAATTATAAAAATTATATAAAAGAAAAAAAATAAAAAAAATTGAATAAAAGTATTAATTAAATAAAAATAAAACAATAAACAAGTAAAATAAAAGAATAAAGAAAATTGAATTAAATTAAGTAAAAGAAAAGTAATAATGAAATTGAAGTAAATAGTAACTGGAATTCAATAAATAATATATAAATATATTTTATTAAATTAAAAAAATTAAAATAAAATAAAACAAAGAAATAATCGTAATAACTAAAACATGATAAATTATTTAAGGAAAAAGTAAAAAACAAATTGCAATAAATACAAAAAAAAAATTAAAAATAAAAATGTTTTAAGTTCATTAATTTAAATCTTCTAAAGTAAATCGAAAAAAAAATTGGATAAAATTAAAAAAATAAAATTTTAAATATGGAATAGAGCAAATAAATTAAAATAAATTTAAATAAATGACAATAAAATTAAACAAAATAAAATAGTATAAAATTAAGAAAATAAAAAAAATAATATATTAAAAATAAAAAATTAAATTAAACTGGAAAACAAATTTTCATAAAACAAAAAAAAATAAAACAATGAACTTTAAGGGAAAGAATAAATAATAACTAAAATAAGACAAAATAAAATAAGGAAATTAGAATAAAATAAATTAAACAAAAATAAAATAAAATAAATAAAAAAAATTTAATTAAATAGCACTGGCTACCCCAAAGAAAAGAGGAGTTATATAAAAATAAAGAACAGCGTGAATTCGCAGAGAGAGAAAGAGTGGTTGCTGACTGTCGTGATATTCTGGGTATTTCTATAACCTCTTATGCAGTGCCAATAATAGATAGTTTAATTTAAATTGCTCGCTTACGGACCGAGCTCGCCTAGGACTACTGACCCGTTGTGATAACTATGTTTGGCTATATGCACAATGATACCTCTCACTTTCCGACAACTTTAACCCAGCCCTTATTGAAGCTACTTCTGCAAGGCAGTCAAAGTAAAAGTGACCGAGAAATGATGTTGAGCTATATTTAGGGAGGGGCAATGGTAGAGTTAGAACTCTTATCGACTCCTTCTCCTGTTGTTATTGTTATAATCGTAAAATATCGGGAAATATTGCGGGAGTGACAGTCCTTGACGCAGGAACTATTTAATTTTAGTCTTTTTTTTTGACAGGCCTGCTTTACCACGGCTTAATTCTTAAGCCCTTTTTACACGCAAGGTCTCCGAATCCTCTTCGTCTATGTCTCTACAGCTGTGACAGAAGGCATTCGAGAAGTAATCCATGCTTCTACCATGAGTCTGGTTTTAACCACGGTGGTTATTATGATCAAGGAGGAAGGTTTTGTTTGGAGGGAGTAGAGACTTAGTTGTCTTCCTTCCGTACTGAGTTAACTCAAGAACCCACAGTCGATGAGGATGGCTAAGGATCTTTGATCCAAAACTGTTACATTTTCCCGACCTCCCTGGCAATCAGAAGTGATCTAGTTTGTCTCTTCCAAAAATGCTATAAAGTTTTGTGTTGTAGCGTGTGCTGTGTTGTGGTTACTTCACGGGTGAGTTATATTTAGGTATATGGCGTTGCAGCCCTCATACAACTCAGACTTGGGAGGAAAATGAGGGAGAAGTTCAAGAGTTTTCGAGGGAGTTGAAAGCAGCAGCCATGTATTGAGCATGAGTATGGAGACGGTGCGCTAGATTTTTTCCAGCTCCAGGATAGTCTAGTGCCGAGCATTAGGCAGTGACTCTGTAGAATAATATGGTTCTTATTGTCATTGAGCGGATGTGGTCTTAGACCCCATGATGTACCAATTGCCGCTTTGTGGGCATAAAGGGCGTTCATGGCTTTCTTCCTTTCTTCCTATCTACCGTATAACGATTCCGGTGCTTAAACTGACTAATACGAAATAGAAAAGAATTACTGTTTCTTCGATTTTTATCTGGCTACTTCTCTTCTACGCCCTCACGAATCGAAGACTCGATTTTATTTGCGCCAAAATTTCATTTTTTCCACTTACCCATAAAGACTTTCTTCACAATCAATGGTTTATTGCCCAGCGGTGAATCGAAACCACCCTCAATGGAGAAACCCAGTCCACAGCTATCCTTTACGATTTCAACTGTGCGTGAGCCGGTAGCGGCATCTTCTGTGGGCGAAAAATATAGAAAATTATATCATTGCAGGATCATCCTTAAAACTTGCGAATATTCACCTTGCGCACGAATTTCCGCCGCAATGGCATTACGCGCCTCAGCGGCACGTTCCAATAGCTCACTAGTGCTCAATTTGCTCGCATCAACACGCGATTGCTGACGTCGTGAACGTATGCTGGCCAAAGTCGCAGCTGTACTTGTATCAGTCATCGTTGGCGTGGGACTCGCGCTCGACACAGTGCTTGGTGTCTTCGAGGCGCCAGCTTCTTCGCTAGCGGAGACAATATCCAAGTCTAGATCGAGTGAACGCGACGCTTTATGATAGTTACGCTTCTTCTCGTAATCCACCTCGGTGGGTTTCTCATTCAACGAAGTGAGTGAGCCGAGTGAAGAGCGTTTTTTGGTGAGCGGCTTAACAATAACCGACTCCGAGCGAGTGACGACGAGTACAACTTCGGGACGTGGTGTCTGAAACAAAAAGAGTTCAGTTAACAAGGTTGATGAGAAACGCGTTTGTTAGGTACTAACCTTGAGCACACTGATGGACTCGCGATGTGTTAGGCCACGCATGCTCATGCCATTAACAGCCAATATGCGATCGCCTTTCTTTAAGCGTCCATCCTTGGCGGCTGGTGTATTGTTTAAGATCTTGTGTATCTGTGTGTGAGAAAGAAGTGAGTATTAGCTACGGGGTAATCATATTATATACCCCCTCAGGATCTTACCGTAATTTCCTTGGCTTCATAGTCGGAGCCACCGGCTAGCGTTATGCCAATACTACTCTCAGGTGTATCACGTTGTAGCACCACTATGAAGGCTTCCGCTGTTTTGAGCGGCGGTTCTGCCTCCTCAATAATTTGTTGTATATCTTGTGCAGTAATCAGACTCTGATTGCTGCCAAGCGACGAAAAGCTGCCGAATTCGTTAGTGTTCTCTTGTGTGGACACATTCTGTGTGCTCGAGCTCACACCCGATGAAGATGAGGCTATAGAGTCGAGTGAGGGGAAACGCTCATGATAGTTGGCACCTTTGCTGCCCAAAGCCTTGGCAGCCAGCAGACTATTAGTAGAAACAGCTGGCGAGACGTTGGATGTAGCGTTGGCTGCAGCTACGGCTGCTCGCTCAGCGGCAGCGGTACGTTCGAACTTCTCACGTATTTCGGCGGTTGTGACCTTTGTTGTTGTCGATGTTTTGCTGCCATAGGTTTTCGTGCTCACTATGGAGGACTCATATTTCTCCAGCACCGGTTTGAGTGGCATACGTTCGGGCATGCTTCTGGTCGATAACTGTTGTGTGGCCTTCTTCGCCACTTCGACTTGCATCCATTGTGTTAGTTCGTTGCTCGTTTCGGGCTGTGTCTTCTTGAGCGGCGGCGTTGCCACCTCAGTGGCTTTACGTGGTGTGACAGGCTGTACGGGCACAGCGCTAACGGCTGGCAGTATGACAGCTGGTTTCGGCTTAGTCGCCACTTTCGGTGGTGTGCTGGCCTTTTGACTGGGGTCGGCCTTGAAGCTGGCTTTGCGCTCTTCATCAATTAACATGGCACTGAGTTTTGATGGCGAGGTACTGTCCGACTTGCGACTACTGTCGTCTGTATCCGAAGTGATCTCCACGTAGGCGGCTACGTTTATTACCTTATCTACGAGACTCTGCTCGTTTTTGGAGACAAGTTTGTAGTTGATTGGCGCCGATGCTGGCACTGCCTTGTTTGGCATTATCACCAACGACGCGCCCGATGTCGAGCGCGGCTTGCTTTTGTGTACGCGACGCACCTCATCCTCATCATAGCCATCGGTGCTGTCTTCATCGTCGTAGGGCCGATTACGTAATAGCGCCGAAGCATCTCCACGTCCATTGCGACATTTAGCCGAGGCCAATATATTTTTACGATTCGTTGCCGAATCACTAGAACCAGATTTCAGTACACGGCGTGACAGATCAACTGTTGGTGTGCTGCCTATTGAGGAACAGCTCGCCTGCGAACCCGAGCCCGAAGTGAGCGTAGAAGTGGTTGAGCTGGCAATAGAAGTGTTTGTCTCCGAAGAGAGCGTGCGTGTGAGAGCGAATTTCTCGGGTACTTGCGGCACGCATGGCGACATGGGTGGCGAGGAGACTTTCGACGAGAAAACCGAGTCTGAGTCACTCTCCTCGTGCATGGCGTGTTGGCGTGGTGGCACACTAAGCGAGGTGCGTGGCGGCTTGGCGGGTGGTGTGCTATTTAACGTGGGCTCGAAACGTCGCGGCTGATGTGGCATAGCTAATGGCGATTGTACCGTTGTGGCATGACGTGGCGATGCGGTTTGTATGCCGAAAATGCTACGATAGCCATTGTTGGCGGCAATATTTGCAGAGTTGCTAGTGGTTGCCACGGTAAGTGGACGTAGTGGTGAGTTGTGCATTAGCTCTGTGCGTTTGGCGGGACGTGGCACTGTGGAGAAGCCACCACTCGAACCAACACCACTATCCGTGGAGTCGGTGGACGATGTATTGCCCGACTTTAATTTCTCACTATCACGACTTTTGATCTCGGGCAGATCCAGTATAGGCTCCAACGGCACATGTGGACGCTCCGGTATAACCAAACCACGCAGCTTGGACATGCTGCGGCGACGCTGTTCCAATATATTGGTTATGGCAGCCTTACGTGATGCCTCGTCTGGCACGTAAGTGGGCTGTCCAGAGAAACTGATACGGCGCTCCAAGTGCTGCATGTGGCGCCGAGGAAGCGACGCATAGCTCTGCGTGTAGTCTGTAGCTAGTGTGTTTAGCGCATACATGGAGTCGGAAAAGGTTTGTGTGGGCAACTGTTTGGCTAATTGTACCTGACGCGCGACATCGTTTAGGTTTTCAACACTCATCGCGCGTGTCTTCGTCAGATTTGAGGCCGTCGTGGCATAGCGCGCACTCGATGCGGTGTCGAGCAAATTCTCTGTGCTTAAGTTGAGCGGTTTCGTAGCGCTCTGAGTGCGCGAGAAACTCAGTTTCATTGGTGTATCGGCGCCACTACTTTCTGCCTCGTTCGAGAACATCGCAATCTTATCGCGTACGCTCTTCTCCGACTTCTCATCCTTACGCCAATCGCTATGACGACGTGGCGCGCTCAGCGAACGCTTGTAGTCACTGCTATTAACGGCGCTGCCGTTCAACTCGAACGAAGGCGGCTCTAATTTGTTGGCTGTAGGTGTGCTACTACCACTCGACGAAAGATTTTGCGTCGAACGACTGTGACGTGACTCGAATACCAATTTGCCAGTACCTGTGCCGTTGCCGGCGCCCGAAGGTGTGGTAGCTTCGGCGAGCACATCACTGCGCTTATCCGCCGATTGACGTGTGTCCTCTACATTTACAACCAAATCCTGTCGGTACACCTTGCGTGGCACTGTTGGTGGTGGGCCGGATTTTGGTAGTGGCGGCGGTACGTTCGCCGCATCTACACCGCCGGTCACCTTGTTACCGCTGCCGTTTGTGCTTATGGTGAACTCCAACGTCGGCATTTCGACTTTTGTGCTGCTTATCTTCAGTGTGCCGTTCGGCGATGAAGATTGTGTGGTTAAGGTCGCTGAGGCAGCCAGCGCTGTGCCTGCTGTGCCATTTACAGCATTGCTGCTTTTGCTTATATGTGTGTGGGTTGTGCGTGTACTGGCAACCATGGTTTGACTGCCTGCTGCACTCGCTGTTGTGTATAGTTTTTCTGTGTAAATTGTATTTGTGTTGTTGTTGTTATTATTATTACTATTGCTATTGTCCTTTGTGCTGCTGCTGGACATTGTCAGTGTTGTTGTGGTGGATTGCATTAGATTGGCGGCTTTTAACAAATTCGTGCTGGGAGGTGGCATTATGAGTGGCTCACTGAAGTTGGGCGGAAACTCATGGCCGTCGGGTGGTAGGCGTGAATATGTGGGTGGTGCGCTGAGTGTTAGATAATCGCTGACGAGTAACGGTGTTTGTGGCACCACCTGTACGCCGTTCTCCATTTTGTTTTTGCTACTCAAATGGGTTTGGTCAAGATCTGCATGTGTATATGTGTGTGTGTGTGTGTGTGTTTGTACGTGGGCGATGGCAAGGAAGAAACAAAGAAAAAGGAAAACAAATTGACGATTAGTCACAGACAAATAAAGGGTCAAACGACAAGTAAGTAATTCGAAGACAACAGTACATAATATTAAAAAATAAATAAAATTAATATAAAAATAGGAAAAATAAATTTAAATTAAAATAAGTAGAATAAAATCAAAACAAAAGAATTCAAATAAAATAAAATATAGTAAAATAAAATGAAATGAAATATAATAAAAAAGTAAAAAAAAGAAATAAAATAAAATAAAATAAATGAAGTAAAATAACAAAAAAAAAATTTAAAAAAATATGTAAAATAAAATAAAGTAAAATTTAATAAAACAAAATAAATAAAACAAGATCGAAGGTAATAAATTAAGTAAAGAAATTAAATAAAACCGAAAAAATAAATAAAATGGGAGAGAATCAAATAAAAAATATAAAACAAAATTAAGTAAAGTAAAGTAAAATAAAATAAAATAAATTAAAATAAAACAAAATAAAATAAAATAAAATAAAATAAAATAAAATATAATGCAATAAAAAATAAAAACAAAAAGAATATTAAATGGAATAAAACTAAAAAAATAAATAAATAAATATAAGGGAATTACTTTTCCATTAAAAAAATTAAATAAAATTAACGAAAACGAAATGAAATAAATTAAAAGAAATAGTTAAACGAATTATTTTTACATTAAATAAGTGAAATAAAATAAAAATAAAATATTATATGATATTTGAAATTAATAAAAAGAAAAATAATAAAGTGAAATGTAAAATTATGAAGTAAAATGAAAAAAATAAAATTAAATAATTGAAAAATTAAATTTAATTTTAATTTAAATTAAATTAAAATAATTAAATTAAATTAAAATATTTAAATCAAATAAATTAAGTTAAATTAATTAATTAAATAAATTAAATGAAATGAAACAAAACAATATAAAAAATATTGAAATAAATTTAATTAAAGTAATTAAAAAAAAAAAACAAAGTGAAAAATAAGAAAAAATTAAATAAGATATTAAAAAAATTATATAAATTAAATATAAAACAGTGCAAAATAATAAGTTTTATAAAAAAAAAAAAATAATTTAAAAATTTTACTAATTTTTTTAAATAAAAGTATTTAATTTCCTTTGTATTCATATATTTCTTAATTAATAAAAACATTATTATAAAGTAATAAAAAATATAATGCCATAATTAATAATAATTCCATTTTATTTAAAAACACAAAACACATGGTTGCAATATTCGTTTAGTATCGCAAAAAAAAAGTTATAAATGCATCTGTATGTATTTATCTGCATACAATTCATTATATGAATGTACATATATCCTCAGCGAGCAATCACAAATAATATGAACGACAAAAGTAATCTGTGCCAAATAAAATATAATCACAGCACAAGATTACAATTGCGTATGAGGGTTTGCATATGTATATATATGTGTGTGTTTGTGTGTTTGTATAAATAATCGGTTTAGGCAAAAATATGAAAGAAAAAATTAAAAAAAAAAAAGTTTTTATTAATGTTTTTTGCAGTTTAGCAAAACAAAAAAAATAGCTTAACATATGTTTGTAGATTTGTTTGAAGGTTTATAAGTATCTACTACGTATACCCAACAGTTATACCCAACTGCTTGTACATTATTAATAATTATTATTTATGTGCAAACATGTGACAAAAATTTCGAATGCAAATCGCCATTACTGCAAAAACAACAACAACTACTCCTTTTTGTATATTCTTATATATATGTATATGTATGTATATGTATAACTTTTACGGCAAAAATCGAACGCAATTCACAACAAAACTGTCACTCATAAACAAATCAAAGTGCATAAATCAACAAAAAAGTGTATATATGTACATATATAAATATTATTTATTACTTGAATTGTGCAAGCATAAAATGAATTTCCAAAATTTAATGAGAATAAAACTAAGTGAGCTGCTTTTGGGCTAGCCAATTTGTGGGGTTTACTGAGGGTATTCGAGTATTTTGTTTTAAATAAATGAACTCAAAGGAACGTTGAAAATATCAAATTGTAGTATTATTTTTTGAAAATACATTCTTAACCTTTCGATTTAAATTATTAATTATAATTAAAATATTTTTTTTTGTGGCGAATGTTTCGCAAGTTTGCTAGGGAAGAAGTTAAAATATTCTTTTTTAAATATTATTAAAAATTAAAAAAAAATCTAAAATAGAAGCTTTTATTTTGTTTTAAAATTTTTAACAAAAAAAAATAATATTTTCCACCTTTTTTAAATCTTTCAGCCATACTTTCAAAAATCGCCAAAAATCGGAATTGCCAGTATTCGTTTTTTAAGTGTCAGTGGCATAGAATAAACGCATGCCCAATTGGCTTAATATCGCACCGAATGCATAATTTGTCTTCTAAACTAGTTTCCTACTTTGGCAATTTATATTATTTACTTATTTTTTCACTACACACAAATAAATATATTTTTAAGAATTTTTGATTATGACACTTTTTCATAATCGTAGTTTAGATTATTATTTGATAAATTTGTTTTATGAAAAATGAATGCGCTATTAGTTAATAAAAAAATATGAAAGTACATACATTATTCATAGAAAAAATCTTTAATTTGTACTTAAAAAAATATAAACAATAAATTTAGACACAAAGATTACCAAGAAAAAATTAAGCAGTCATAAAAATGTTCGGAAAAACCTCTATATATATTTTTTTTTCCATAGAAATATTAGCTCGACATGATCGCTATATGCACAGCTGTTTTCCAACAAGCGCTAAAGCAGTCTCAGACAGACAACCTGACTACATTATACGAGCAGCTATATATGGTTGTAGTTGTCTTTCAACTATGCCGTGGGTGTTATGATATGATGAAAATAATAAATAATTAAATGCAAACTGCCCTTACTTGACTACTTAAAAGTTTATTGCTGTTTTTATTATAAATTCACCTACTTAGCGGCTGATTGAGTTTTTATTAATGAATATGTACATTTTTTCAAGCATTTATTTATAGACTTTAGACTTTAATTAAAAAGAAAAAACACAACTGGAATAAATGATTTGTATATACTCGTACCTAGATATTTTTAAATTACCAAAGGAGTGCTTGAGCTGCTTTTCTGCAAAGCTTCAAACTCTCTTTATGTTATTTGGATTCTTTTTTTTTATAACTAAATTTTTATAATTTAATTTATTAATTTATAAGTTTTTTTTTTAAATGCAATTATATAGACTAAATCAAAGCTGCATCATTTTTCACATTAATCGTTTCGATTGAAACATTTGGAAAAATTAACGTTATAGACGAAAAGCTGTCCTTAATGTTAAATCGTTAACAGAAAATATTACACACTAACAGGCAATGTTAAGTCGTTAACAGATAATGTTAAACGTTAAAATTTGATGTGCTATTAAATTTTAGCAAGCAGCCAGTTTAAAATTGACGTTAACGATTTCATTTTGTTGAGTTGATTTATTAACATTCCATTTATCTGTTAAGAATTTTAAATTTAAAATTTAAAAATTAATTTATTTATTTTCAATTAATTAACTTGTATCTTTTTAATTTTAAAATAAATAAATAATATTAATTTTAATTTATTAATTTTCCATTGAATATATTTTATTATTTAAATTTGTACTTATTATTTTTTTTTAGAATTTATTAACTTTTAATTTTTTAGCTATTAATTTACGACTTATTATTTTAATTTTATAAGTTTTAGGTAATAATTTTAATTTAATTTTTAATTTATTATTTTTAGAAATATATTTACAAATTTGTAATTTACTTCTTAGTTAGTTAATTATTTATTAATTTATTAATCGCTAATTATCATTAATTTGTAATTATTTATTATTTATTATTTATTAATTATTAATTATTATTTATTATTTATTATTTATAATTTATAATTTATAATTTATTATTTATTATTTATTATTTATTATTTATTATTTATTATTTATTATTTATTATTTATTATTTATTATTTATTATTTATTATTTATTACTTATTACATATTATCTATTATTTATCATTTATTAATTATTTATTAATTATTGATTTAATATTTATTATTTACTATTCGTTATTTTTTAATTATTAATTTACTATTTAATTATTAAATTATTATTATTTATTATATATTATTTATTATTTAATTATTAAATTGTTAACTCTTTGCTGTTATCAATTATTTTTTATTTTAAACAAATTTTTAATTCACTAAATAAATATTTTTTTTTTGATTTAGTATTTATATATTTTTTAATTACAAAAATGGAAATTTGTAAATTTTTAATTACACAAGAGTTACTAATACCGGATTGTTTGACTGCACTTTTTTACTTATTAGAATTTCATTGTTTAATTTTCAGTTTACTTAATTTTTAATTATTATTTTATCAAATATAATTTTTGGGATTTTGACATATTTCATATAAATTTTTAACTATTTATTTTCGTTTGATAGTTTTTGTTTGTTTATTTTTATATTTTTAATTTAAATTTTTGTTTATTATTAATTAATATTTAGAATTCATTTAGTTATTTTTTTAAATTTTTTAATTAAATTCAAATCGCTAGTAAAAATTTATTCCAAAAAAATCAAAATTATTTATATATGTATTTGCATTTTTAAACACATTCCAGCAACAAAAATTTGTTTTTAATTCCTTATCCCCATAATTAGCAACATAATTAAACTGCGACCCACTTTCCACACCCTAATTCGCTTGGTAAGATTATTCGATTAGCTTAAATATACCAGCTATCATTATTTGATTGAAGAAAATTTCTTCAGAAAACCGCCAACATAAGAATGGGTCAAAGCTGCTTTCATTTTCTTTCGCGTGAACATTTCATTTACAACGAAAAACAAAACAACAAAAAACAATGAAATTCACAATGACACCCCAAACTAAGCGA